TTCTTTCTTTTATTTTTTGCTCTTCTGTCTGCTTTTTTTTTTTTTTTACTTTTATTCTACTTTGCTTCACTCTCTTATACACAACCGTAACATTGCTACTGTCCTTCACATATGAAGTTATTTTAAAAAAAAAGCATAGAGGTACGACTCGCCGGTTCCTGGCATATAAATCTAGTTTCAAAATACTAGCCACGCAGGACTGCGATAAACAAGTCATGTAGTTGAGCAATACAGTTGTTAATATATATCACAAGTATCATGAAAAGTTATGTAACAACAAATAAAAATTAACATCTGTTCAGATAATGTGGGTGGATTCGAGGTGTATTCTGTAGAACCTTGTGTTAGTGTACAGAGAGCGGGGGTCATTTTAATATGTGATGGCATTGTGGCCCCCGGTTCCTGGTTCTTGGCCGTAAACATGCCCCCTGGCAAGATGGGAAACCAGGTGGCTCAGTGAGTTACCTTCTGGTTAGCTCCTATGTAGGTCCTGGTTCCCATCCCCCTCTCCAACCCTCCTTATATAGTGGTTCAGGTAAGAGCGACAAGCTAAGGTGGAGGTGCTCCATTGGAGGTGCTCCATTGGACCAGCGACCCGAGACCTCTAGCCAAGTCTGGTTCTGTTCCTGAGTGCCAACTTCCCCATCTCCTGTATCTTCCCCCTGTCGTCGATATGTCAGCATGCTTTGAAAATCTGAGTGGTAGACCTCTAATAGTCAGTGTGTCCATTTGTCTAAGTACGTTTGTGAGCAACCCTGTGCTGTAAACGTCAAGTCTTCCAGTCTACGTAGTTCTTCCATTTTCTCAAACCAGTCCTTTAGCGGAAGGGGTGTGTCACTCTTCCAGTACAAAGGTAGGATATGTTTTGCTAAATTCAGTATCCGTATAATTAAGGATTTTTTATATTTGGCTGTTAAAGTTATGTTTTTTTATGTTTAGAAGAAAAAACAGAAATAATGCACACATCTCACAAACTGTGAGAGGATGCCTCCTGGAAAATAAAAACAGTATCTTATTCCAAATAACAAATTGATCTATAAAGTGATACAATCAAAATAGGACATAAATACAACCCTTATAAGGCTTCTCCTAGACATGAATCAAAGTTGCATCAATACGACAGGGTAGAGAAAAGTGGTAGATACTAAAATTGACATACCATAAAAATAGTATAAGTATGTATATATTTATTAAAATTGGCCAGTTACCACACTATAAAACATAAATCTCACCCTTACAGATGCTATTGTAAAAGGGGGGAGAGGACAGCAAAAAAATACTAGCATCGATTCCTACTAGAAGCACAGGACGTATAGTTGTATATACAGAGAAATTATTGTATGTAGATGGAGCCTCTCTCCCTTAAAAACTAAGTAGACAGGCATAGGAGATTAGAATGAAAAGGAAAAATTTAATCTGTTAAATCATAATCCCAGCAAAGTAATTCATTAGATTCCTTAAATTACCAAAGTGAAACAACAAAGTGAGGTGACGTGCCCACAAAAAATAAAAAAAAAGAGATAAACACCCCATAGCAAGACCGCCTGACCCACATTTCTGTGCAAATCCTGATGAAGTCAACCTATGCCAATCTAGGCTAGGCCACAGCCTAGCATTGGCAAAGTGGTTGTATGATGAAATATCCCATTTTGCGGCCAGCGTAGCAGGATGTAGTGATATGGAATGCTTAATTCTTCCCACTGATATAGTAAAGTTGGGCCTGCATGGGTGGAGGCATGATTAATGGTCGCACCAGCTCTTCACCACTCTGACACACCATCAGCTTGTCCTCCTTGTGTGGTCTGGATGCGGTTCGATTGCTTTTCTCTGCTTCATTGTAAGTGAGAGACCCTGAGGAGTATGATTAGTTGGTGCAGCAGGGACCGTGATTTGCATGCAAGCCACCAGCTTTTCCCAAAAGGCTTAAAAAATAGAGGTGAGCCAATCCAGCAATCCCACCCTCCACCGCCGAAGTCAGAAGAGCCTACGGCAGCCACCATGTTGCTTGCCAAGTGGTATCAGATACACGTTGTTGCTGTGTGCCTCCATCTTTCACAGGAACCTCTATGGTGAGGACTGGGATCAACGCCACCGGTCCAGCCGTCGATACACTGCTATAAGTGGTAGATCAGCTGCCTCTCCCTTCCTTGATATGCGCTAGGCTGCAAGATGCTCAGAGGCCCCTCCAAGACAGTGTTGACTACGGTCACATCTTGTCACTGGCAGGTGAGTCGAACCCAAGCTATTCTGTCTAACTTTAGTGTGCATTAGTATCCAGTACTGACCAGGGCCGGACTGGGGATTCCAAAGCAGCCCTGGAAAAAAAATCTATGCCAGCCCCATAAGTCATTGCACCATATATTGTTGCATGTAATATGTAAGGCTATGTCTTGCCACCCTAGACGATTGATATATATAAAATATTGGTCCTTTCAGAGTAAAATTTTTAATTATACAGTAAGCATACTCACATGCAGACACAGACAATCTCACTGACACAAGCGGATTGATACACAGCCTCATAGACAAACAATCTCACTGATATACATAAGGTCATTGACATAAAAACACAAGCTCACTCAGTAGCAGGCACACACACACACAAGCAAGCCCACTCACTAGCAGGCGCGCACACACACACAGCTTAATGTAGTGGCTCTGGTGTGTATAGCCTGTCCCTGCAGGCTTTTCAATGTAAACACTGACTTTTTAGAAAAAAATTGCTACCTAGTGACAGACACTCAGACGGTCACTAGAGGTGCTTCCTGTGTCAGTGCGGATTGGCTGAGATCATCAAGCTTGATGATCTCAGGCGTAGAGGCAGGGCCAGTCGAGGGGAGACCAGCACGACGTGGGTGTGGGGAAAAAGGTGAGTAAAAACACACACACACATACCATGACAGACACACACCATGGCACAGACAGACCGTGACACAGACACACACTCAGTGACACAGACAGAAACACACACACACCGTGACACAGGCAGAAACACAGACACACCATGACAGACAGACACACCATGACACAGACAGACACACACACACACCATGACAGAGACACATACATACCACGACAGACACACACCTTGACACACACACACACCATAACACAGACAGACTGTGACACAGACACACACACCGTGACACAGACACACATTACAGACAGACACACACCATGACACACAGACACACACACCACGATACAGAGAGACCGTGACACAGACACACACACCGTGACACAGATACACACACATTACATGACAGACAGACACACACACACACCATGACATACAATCACACACACACCATGACAAATACACACACACACCATGACACAGACAGACTGTGACACAGACACACACATTACATGACAGACACACACACACAATGACACAGACACACATTGCATAACACAGACAGAGACACACACACCATGACACAGACAGACACAAACAATGGCACAGACGCATTGCATGACACAAACAGACACACACACCATGACACAGACAGAGACACACACACACCATGACAGACAGAGACACACAAATGACACAGACATACACACACATAATTGCTACCTGTGTGCTGGTATGGGGAGCTCTGATGGCAGCCGCATGGGGAAGCTGGGTCTTCTGGCGGCCGCAGGGGAGCTGGCTGTTCTGTCTCTGCTCCCCCTCCCCAGCGCGCTGCTTAATGAGACCGGGGCCGGAATATGACGTCATATTCCGGCCCCGTTCTCTTTGTAGCGTGCTGGGGAGGGGGAGCAGAAACAGAACAGCCAACTCCCCTGCGGCCGCCAGAAGACTCAGCTCCCCTGTGCGGCCGCCAGAAGAGCTCTCTCTGCGGCCGCAGGTGAGCCAGCTGCCTGCCCGGCCCCAGGTGCCGACGGCCCACCGGGAAATTTCACGGTATCCCGGTGGGCCAGTCCGGCCCTGGTAGTGACCTAAAAAATCTCTATTATGTCCGGGAGTTTTCGTAACAGACGTCTTGCAGACCTGGCAGTCAGGCCCTGTCCCCTACATATTTAATTTTATAGGAGACAATACCTCCCACTTGCTTACTGAGCTACTTATAGAATGTTATTTAGTACTCAGGCGTCTAAAGGCTTTCTGTCAAATACTTGGTATTAAGGCTGAGGTTCCCAAACATTTTATATTAAGTGTTTCTTTTACCTTTCTACGTAACACATTAAGGTATGCACTTTTGTCATTATTTAATTAGTGACGGAATGTATTGTCATGAGCTGAGCACTATGTGCTACTTGGAAAACTTTCTTAAATTCTTTTTTCCTTCTTTCTGTTCTCTCTTGTGAAACACACAACTGTATTGAACACAACGACAAAGTACATACACAGAATATATTTATAATTTTAAAATTTTCGCATCTAAATTATTATTTGTTATATTTAAAATATACCTGTTTATTATAAACCATACAACAGCAGATTTTATGATTATGTTTTTTCGGCTTGGTATACCAGCGTGCGACCTCGGTGAATGCTTGTTGAAAATGCTCACATTGTTCTGTACTATTCAATCCCAAAACCTCAATAAAACTAATGAATACATAAATGATTTTACGTAAATCCTTTCGTTCCTATGATAAGTCTCAAGTACTTTGGTTATTATGATGGAATTTATTTTATAGAATGTTTTCTTTCAATAAGTATAAATGTCACACCTGAGCTTGTTATACTTGTAAACCTGCAAATTCTTCAATACAAATATATTTGAGAAATAAATCTTATTTTACTTTTATCTACATTTTATATTTAAAAGAAATATATTACTATGCAGTGTGGGTGTAAAAAACCTGTATAATCAGCAAGTGAGCAATGACAATTTTCCGAAAAGAAATGCATCACACTTTCCCAACTACCATTCTTACATTTTATGCATTCTACTTCTATTGCTTATTATTTTATGCAACAGTACAAAACAACTTCCATTTGTAGGTTTTCGAATAATACCCTTTTCCTTTCAGCATTGAAGGGACCACGGAGCTGGGGAAGTTTGAAAGATGGCAGAGGGAGATATCACAACCTTTGCAGCATTGACTGAGAAATTCGACCTTCCTCTGGGCAATTACAAGAAACCGAAGCTATTGTATTGCAATAACGGGGGATACTTCCTACGAATCCTTCCAGATGGAGAGGTGGATGGGACTAGAGACAGAGAGGACCTGCACAGTAAGTGACTATTCTAACCTTTTAAGGTACAACTACTCGAAAAAGAGGCCAAATTCAAGCAGTGTTAAACTACTGTTATTATTTTATTATTTATATAGCGCCATCAGATTTTGTAGCGCTGTACAATGGGTGGACTACCAGACATGTAATTGTAACCAGACAACTGGACGTACAGGAACAGAGAGGTGGAGGGCCCTGTTCAATGAGCTTACATACTGTTTGTATGGTCTACAGTTATCACACATTTATTGGGATAAATATGTTTCAAACATGAGCCTATCCTGCCCAAGGTTTAATGGATACTAAGAATAACCACTTAGAGTGCCAGGAAAACCACAAAAAAAAAAAAAAGTGTTTAAACCACTGTGTGCTATGTAAGCCTGTATGACTAGTATTGTTCAGCCTATTGTTACTGTAAGAGTTTGTAATTGTCACATTTATTATAATATTGTAAAGCGCTGTGGATTAAGTTGACACTATATAAATGCCAATAATAATAATAATAATTGCTGCTGCAATAATTTGAAGGAACGGATATTCTTAGTGCTTTGAAAGAAAGAACAACCATTATTTATTACTCTAGCATTTTATTTTTGGTGATCATTCACAAAACACAGAATTGTAGTAAAATAAAGTGCTGATTTAGATATACAGGTGATACTTGAAAATTAGAATATTACATGCAATCAATAAAACAAGGAGTGTACATAGAACAATATCGGACCTCTGAAAAGTATAAGCATGCATATGGACTCAGTACTTGGTTTGGGCCCCTTTTGCAGCAATTACTGCCTCAATGCGGAGTAGCAGGGAAGCTATCAGCCTGTGGCACTGCTGAGGTATTATGGAAGACCAGGATGCTTCAATGGTGGCCTTCAGCTCTTCTGCATTGTTCGGTCTCATCTTTCTCTTGGCCATGCCCCATAGATTCTCTATGGGGTTCAGGTCAGGCGAGTTTGCTGGCCAATCAAGCACAGTAATCCCATGGTCACTGAACCAGGCTTTGATGCTTTTGGCAGTGTGGGCAGGTGCCAAGTCCTGCTGGAAAATGAAGTTAGCATCCCCATAAAGCTTGTCTGTGGAAGGAAGCATGAAGTGCTCCAAAATCTCCTGGTAGACGGCTGCGTTGACCCTGGACTTAATGAAGCACAGTGGACCAAAACCAGCAGATGACATGGCTCCCCAAATCAACACAGACTATGGAAACTTCACACTGGACTTTAAGCATCTTGCAGTGTGTGCCTCTCCATTCTTCCTCCAGACTCTGGGTCCTTGGTTTCCAAATGAGATGCAAAAGTTTGTATCCTCAGAAAAGAGGACTTTGGACCACTGAGCAACAGACCAGGTATGTTTTTCTTTAGCCCAGGTAAGATGCTTCTGACGTTATTTGTTTTTCAGGAGTGGCTTGACAAGAGGAATATGACATCTGAAGCCCATGTCCAGGATCTATCTGTGTGTGGTGGCTGTTGATGCACTGACTCCAGCCTCAGTCCACTCCTTGTGAAAGTCCCCAACACTTTTGAATGGCCTTTTCCTGACAATCCTCTCCAGGCTGTGGTCAACCCTTTTCTTCAGCACTTTTCCATTCCACATAACTTTCTATTAATGTGCTTTGATACAGCACTTTGGGAACATCCAACTTCCTTTGCCATTACCTTTTGAGGCTTTCCCTCCTTATGGAGGGTGTCAATGATGGTTTTCTGCACAACTGTCAGGTCAGCAGTCTTCCCCATGATTGTGATTCCTACTGAACCAGACTGAGAGACCATTTAAAGGCTCAGATACCCTTTGCAGGTCTTATGACTTACTTAGCTGATTAGAGTGGGACACTGTGAGCCTAGAATATTGCACCTTTTCACAATATTCTAATTTACTGAGATTGTGGATGTGAAGGATCCTGTTATCTCTGTAGTACCTATCCTTGCAGCTTCTCCCGAACTCCCAGTAGAATAATAACGAAGTAGTGATATAGCTCATAATTCCCCCAAACATGAGTCGAGACTTCATGAAGGGGTAAAACGATCTGATCTGAATAGTCTGGGGTTATCTCCGGCCACTATGTTAAGCCAAATCAGATCCCACGAACACAGTTCTAAATACTGTCGAATAAAGTTTTTAGTTCACCGGTTGTTCGGGAAATTGAATCCGAAAAGAGTTCCATAACTGCAGCTGAACTTGGTGCGCTTCAGCGGTGTGCGGCTAAATACGTGTCCGAAAATCGTTCCAGAGGGTCGACTACCATCTGACGCTGAGCGTTCGACGATTTTAAAATGGCGACCGCCGCATGTTTGGCAAATGAACGCGGACCACCAAGCCTTAAATCAATTACCTTGCGGTTAACTGCAAGGTCTGGGTGGTAAATAAGCTGCACACGACCCTGGTGGGAGGTCGGGTGGTTCGGGAGTTTGTTCGGCTCTTTTACAAATACATGAAATAGCCAAACACATGAATATTTAGACGAAATGCTGTTTCCTTGAGTCTGTCCAAACAGGGATTTCGTCACAGTGGATTTGGGGTTTTCATGAGCTGTAAGTCATAATCATGGCACTTATGACAAATCACGGTTTGAACTATCTTGCTTTGCATGTAATGCGTCTATCTCATATATTAGTTTCCCCTTTTACATTGCATTACTGAAATAAATGAACTTTTGCACGATATTCAAATTTTTCAAGTATCACCTGTATTTCCTACTCCTATAGTCACAGCTTTGCTTTTTTTTTTTTTTTTTTACTGAAATTTTCAAATTCCTCCAATATTCAGTTCACTGCAATTCTGTTAAACGAATAAATCCTTTGTGTTTTATTTTAATTGGCGGCAGGCTTGATTGTCCTAATAAAATGTATAAATCACCAACATGTACAACATGCATGCATTAAAATGTTGGCTTTAAAGGCAAATGTGCTCTAAAACTACTTAGCTGCCAATGGATCACAGCATAATGAACCATGTTTTCACTTAATTGGGTCAATACTTACACTCTAATTTTGCTTATAATGCAGAAGGTTTTTGTGAATCCAGTAACACAGAGAGATATACAAGTCAAACTATCCCAAGATTAATGGTTTGATTTCTGTGTCACATTTATGACCACAAGTTAGCCGGGGGAATCCCAATTACTGTGTGTGCTTCCAGCTAGTTAAATTCAGCCTTATTCGGAATGAAAGAGGTAAACATCAAGTCCTAACACGTGGATATCTCCTGGTTGGAAGCTAACCTGGAACAATTGTTTAAAACCACAGAAATTGCATTGTGTAAGAGGTATGAAAGAGGTCATCTATAGTTTCCCCTGGAGTTATATTCGATCCTCTAACACATGTTGGTTTTCTTAATTAATTCTGAGAAAACATTGTCAGAGACAAAGTAACCTCACTGTACAACTCACAGTGAATCAAAATTATAAAGTAAGTGAGAAACAGGAAATGTTGATCGTATGACTGTGCGTGAAACTTTGAGTATATAACCACTGCAGAAGTGAATGACTTGTTGCCTCTTTGTGTCCTTTATTCTAGTGGAAAATATGTCGCCCTGATCCTCATATTACAATATTCTTACAGAAGCCAAAGTAATATCAAAGTAATGATTTCCCTTTACATTCATTTTTTTAACCCCTTAAGGACACCTGTAACTTGTGAGATTTCTGCACAACCCAAGAGCCAAATAACATTTAGTTATTGGTAGTATCGTTTAAAGAAAAAGAAAAATGGACTTTTCCATTATTATTTACCTGTCATGGCAAACACACTCTACACAGAATCTATGTTTTAACCAATACCACACTCGCGAATTAGTGTGCAAGGAGCCAATGAAGGGATGCCGGAGAGCACATGCACTTGGGTAGGTTTCTTTGTGCAAGAAGGTATGAGTGCACACAAGGTATCGTATGGCCTACAATGCAGACGTGTAGCACGGATAAGCTACACTGTAAACAATGCGAAAGTGTTTACTGGGATGATTTAAATAAAATAAAAAAGGGAACTGGCAATTTAAGAGAAATGGCTGATTTAAGGACCAAATATTACATGACAGGTGCATAGTTGTACCCTTGGAGATAAAGAATAAAAAAAAACTTACGTACCCAATAATACACGGACACTAATATGTTGGGTAAAATTCTGTCCACAGCTTTTAATATAATATAATAGAATTTTTAATAGGAAAAGTCGTTGTCAAACAAACCCTGTATATCAATAACCCCCCACATCATGACAATGACCCCAAAATTAACAACATAACAATACAGCAACTTAAATAACACCATGAAACACAACTTGCCCAAATGATCCAATGTACAGAGATACCCCTACATCCCCATGTTCTGAGTCACAGGCCAGCTCGAAACCTACCATACAAATTTTTAAACCATATAATAGCAACCCATTCCACCCCCAAATTTACCTATCCAGTCCCCTGCCACAGCTCAGACCTTGACCCCTAAAGATGCCTGAGCACTGTCACCCCCAATATACAATGCCCTGGCCAAACTTTCTTGAACTCCCAAATTGAAAAGGTTGAGACCATCATCCGAATGATGTACCCCATCCAGGCAAATATAACCACCAACATGGATTCCAGCTCCAGGTGCCTAATCACTAACCTGCCGAAATTTTTTTAAGAATACTACCATCAATTTATTGACCTTAATCCTGAAGCATGATGAAACCAGTGAAACCGGAGAGCCACTAACTCCTTCAATTGATCCACATCCCTTTCCACTTGTTTATCCAACTCACGCTTTTGCATCTGTACCAGGTCATTACCTCCTACATGAAATAGAATAAAATCTGGGGATCCCTACCTTATCCAACTTGCTAAACACTTACCAACACACCTATCTCCACCTGAAACCCGAGCCAATGTAACCTGGTCCACCAGAACACCCAGCTGCTGACTTTGGAACATGACTGCAGCTCTCTTCTGTACCTGATGTATATAGTAATGGCCCATGAACCATGCAACCAACCAACCGTAAGGAAGCAAACACAAAAGCTCAAGTAAATAACATACTTCATAATAAGAATGTTTTGGATTTTTTTTTGTATGCCCATGTCCATGCACCACTGTAATCGATGAAGCAAACGGGTGATTAAAGTGAGACCAACCAACATATTGTGAGTAAAGAATATAACTTTCCTATTCCTCAATTGCCCAGCCCACAATGAAAGTGCAACACCAATGGAAACAACACGAAGAATGCAAGTTTGTGAATGAGTGGTCTTATTTTCCATTCCACAGGCCAACCCTCTGCGCACCACTGATCTCTAAAATAAGTCCCAAAGCTCACTCTCCCTGAAGCGTCAATAAAGAGCTCCAGCTTATCGGGAGAAACCACTTTTTTTCTGAAAAACATTGTCCCATTTAACTGCCTAAGAAATGTTTCCCATACTTCCAGGTCTGCCTTCATAGCAGCAGTGACTCTGAATAAAGTGATAAGCTGATTCCTTCCCACAAGTAGCCTTAGCCAAAAAAACTGTTAAAAACTCACCCCATTGGGATAACTCAAAGTTAAGATGGCTGATCAAATATTGTAACTGCCTCACTGTCACCTTCCTGGCCTCTTTTACTTCTGCCACAACCTGCGCACTGCAATCACTTGGTCCATAGAAAGCCTACACCCACCAATCTCCAAATCGATCTCCACCCTAGGAATTAAAACATGTAGCTGGGCCCTCCGTTTTGTCAGCCGCCAATGTTACACCCATTCCAATGTTCTCATCACGTATCAGCAAGAATTTGAATCAGAAGGTCCCACACAAAGAAAATCATCCAGGTGGTGAACGATAAATTGATTACCAGCTTCCTCTCTAACTACCCATTCCACAAAAGTGCTAAATATTTCCAAGTAGACACAAATCCACTTGCCTTTCAAAATGCATCTTAATAAGTGATAGCATTCAGAATGTATGGGTAACGGTCCAAAAGCCAACAGTCTACATCTGCCTTAGACCAACAGAGCATTTCCCCTAGACCACTTAGCCAACTCGACTGCCTTGTCAAATGATGCGTAAGAACCTGAACATAAAACAATATCATCATTTACTGATAACCATTTAGGATAAGACAGATTGTGAATAAGTTGATATTTGCTAGTCTTTCTTTGGCATTCATGTCAATTAATTCCTCTACGATCGAGAGAAGATAGCCAGATGACTTATATCCATCTCTGTCCCTCTGCTGCCTGCGCACCATACTCCTGCTACGATAGGTTTCCCCTGTGGCCCACCTGCCCTGCTGCCTGACTGGGGGATCTTGTTTCCCTCTGTCCTCTGCCACTATTCCCAACCCTCTTGGACTGCCTGTACTCACCTATCACTCCAGCTTCCAAAGGACTCCTGTTCCACTTCCTTGCCATGATAATCACTGGACCCCTTAGGCCTGCACTGAATGCCATAATGCCTCCCAGCTCTGCTGTCAGCTGCTCCTGAATCCAGTCAGCTCCCTTCTGGGTTACTATCTTGATTCCCTCCAGCATGGCTGCAAAGACAGGCTCCATGATGAACCTGTCACTCCTGATGCCAAACTACTCCTGTTCCACTCCTTTTAAATTGTTATAACTGGATCTGTTCATGTCAGTCTTAAGCCTCATGTGGTCCTGAACAGCACCCTGCAGTGATGCTTTTGCGGCCTAGGCCATTTAGGCTTGCACTGTCTACCATGCTCAAATTTGCTGTTATCAGTGGTTTCAACTGCTCCTGAACATAGCCAACTCCCTTCTCCTGGGTTGCTCTCTTAATGCCATCCAGCATGGCTGCAAACAGAGTCTCCATGATAAATCTGCAAGACAAAAAATAATTATCCAAGGCCTGAAGCCACACTATCAGTGCTGGCAATAACAACAAGGTCTGTGAGAAAGCATTAGAATGGGAACATTTTAAAATGGCTGCCCTATATGTACCAGCTTGCCCATCCCAGATGTACCAGCTTGCCCAGCCCAGATAACATTTTTTAATTTTTTTGTCAATCTCTTTTTATTGAAATTTTTTGTTTTTTATCGCACCCATGCGGGCCATGTAACACAAAGAACGTACAGTATAAGTATACATATGTTACAAAACAAGGTGTACATTAGTCCAAGAACAGGTATGTATCACAGAAATTGCGGACCAACATTGATATGTTATCAGGAGTGTGTAAATTGCTCTGGGAGAATGGATGTGTGGTATAGGTGGGCTTAATGCAATCCAGTCAGGTTGTGGAGTTATGGCCTTCTTCTAAATGTTCCCTTAGCCCAAGAGGGCCTTGAGGTGAGGGGGGATGGCAATGGAGCGGCAGATCACTCCTTCTTAGAGGGGAACAAGTGGACTGGGTATGGCTCCAAGCAAACAAGTTAAATACATCAAATCTTTAGCTGAACAGTGTATGTCCTGGTTGCTGCTGCCTCTTTGGCTCTCGGGGAGGCCTTACAAAATGTCGGGGATTCAACTAGTGAGTTTATGTACAGTTCCCTTATGTGTGACCACCAGGAATCTGGGAGATTTCCAGTGATATTCTTTTCCTGCTTCTCTGAGGATGCTGGTGACTGGGTTCAGCGATCTGCGGTTGTCGTTGCTGCAGCATAGCACCTATGTCCTTGGGCCCTGAGGGCGACTCCGGTGGAGGTTTTGGGACCGTCGGCCCATTGTTGCTGGGGTAGGTAAGTGTTCTGTGGGGAGGTCTTCCACCTGGGTCCTCCGGTTGTTAAAATCTGCCCAGGAGTGCCGACCAGTCGAGGGCTGATGTGGGTTTGTAGGCCTCAGGTCTGCGTTTCACTAGTTTACCTGTGCCTGGTACAGAAACGACATGGGGGAAGCTTGGTTGTGCTCAGCTAGTGCCCCAGGTCAGGAGTGGGTTATTTGAGGGTTTTAAGCCTCAAATATCAGGCTTTGATGCGGGTTTTGGTCGGGAGTGCTGCTGGGTCGCGTCAGCTCCTGCTCATGGTCAGGCTCTGCCCCCTCCCAATCCACATTATCTGTAAATGCCCACCTTCTAGTTCTTTCAAGGCCATATTCCACTAAGCTGTGCTGCTCCATGGGATACAATTTGCAGTCATCATAATTTGGCCCCTTAGGATCTTAGGCCAGCATAGAATGTATTACTTGAACTCAAGCAAGCATTGAGCTACAAAATATGATCTTTAAAAAACAGATTAGGATATTTATAGACAGTTATTGGTCCTTAAGTGATTAAGAATACAAGGTAGGTGAGGAATGTAGAATATAAAAGCTGAAAGGATAGGAAATAAGTTGACTGTAGGTAGATAATTAATTAATATACTAAAATGATAGAGCACAAGATTTAAAATGCGACAATAGTGTGACGGAACGCTGGCACTCCGACCGAGTACTTCCGCCAATCGATGCTCCTAGCGCTTGCCGAGGACTCCAGGCACTCCAACCAACACCATCAGCATTGCAGACTCCACTTCCAGCGATGCAGCTGCACTGGGGTCTCGCCGTCTTTCACCCACCCTGGATCCAAGGCCAGGATCCAGCTTCCGGTGGGCAGGCCTCTCTTCTCCCAGAGAGCGTAGCAGGAACAAGAACAGCTCTTACAAGAGCTTACCCTGGGGAGTATAGTGTAAATATTGCAATCCCCAGAGTGTAGTTATCTCATCCCCCAAACATGAGCCAAGGCTTCAAGAAAGGGTTAAGTTGTTCTGTTTAATGGCAGCGAAGGGCTTTCTTTTATACAAGTTTTACACATACAGTACCGCCCACAGCCAATCAAACACGTACAACACAGTTAAACACTCCCATTCATTCCCACAAAATCCTCCCCTCTGCCTGTGATATAAATACAAAACACAATGAGTTAATGTAATTATCACAGGCAGGAAAAATACAGTTTTATACAATATTCATAACTTTAAAAGTATACATCACATTCATTTACATTTTCAGAATCCGCAAACTTCAAATACAAACATACCCAAAAATCATACAATTCCCTCCAGTAGTTAAAAAGTTAGCTGGAAGTCCTTTTTGATCGACCACACGCACTCACGTTTTCATGCCCAAAAAGAGTTCCAGAGAATCAGGCTGTGCAGCCGGTCTATTTCCCATGTAAAAGTCAGTTCAAACAGACGAACGGCAACCATTCGAATTGTCAAATTAACTGTTGAACGGCGTTCGAATAGTCGAACGGCGTTTGAATTGTCGAATGCATTAGTTCCAGGGAAGGTAAAACTTCAGCGATGTTCATGCCGTTTTGTAGCCAATTTCAGTTCCTTGAATTTGACGGCACACACCGCTGACCACGTTCGAATGAATTAAAATGTCCACCGTTCGGTTTTTCGAACTGGCATGCGAAGTGCCAGTTTAAAAGTACAGATCCTTTTCCTAGGAGTTAAAGGGCCTGAAGCAGCACAATAAAAATCCATTATGCCCAAATTCGTTCTTAAAGGACAATACATCCCAGGGGCCGTAGTCACATGGCAGGAGGCTGGCAAGTAGTGGCGAAGGGCACTTTGTCACATATAGGTTATTGTTAATCTGTCCTGTTTACTCTTTTTAACCCTATGCTAGATGCTGGGCGCTACTAGCTACTATACAAATATTCATACTCTCAGATCCACATACCAGGTCTACATGTTAATAAAAATATCTAGAACCTGTTTTTCTTTCTGAATCAATGGCAAATATATCTCACGAAACTGAAATACATGATGGCATAGCTATTTTGCACACTTATCAACACATACAATGATACAAGGAAATATTATTTATTTGGATTTGTGTATATATGTGTGTGTGTGTATACATATATCTCATTAAGGGTACAAGTCTAGTTGAGAAACGCAATAGTTAACGAGGGTCTTTCTAAGCCTACTTTTTTAGAGGATATTATATTTGTGTACGTTCCCTAACCATCACGTATTTTCTGACACATATATTTATTCTATTGTATTAATACATATTTAATCTTTAAGTACATTTGCATAACTGTTTTCTAACTTTGTTCTTGCATTAATGTTTAATAAGAGTAAACCATTCCGGGCAGGCAAAAACTCAATCCATTATAATTGCCTTTTAAGAACCATGAACAATTTATTATAGGTTATTTTACTGTTCAGATTAGCTTAGATTCACTATCATACCATGTGAGATAGCTTAGAGTACCGTGTTCCAACAGCCGAATCTCTAGAACTGTTCAATCTGCTACTTTTATTCACAGCAATATCCCCTAGGTGATCCATCCTTCCCAAGTCAATTGAATATGTACCATTCACTTAGGCAATAACTTGAATATATCTGGATGTACTTGAAAGCTGGTGAAAGCTATACCTGGTAAAATAACTTTATAAATGATTTTAAATTAAATGTTTTGGTGTCTCCTTCTAGTTAAATTGCAGTTAAAGGCAGAAAATGTAGGTGAAGTCAATATAAAGTGCACGGAAACTGAGAATTATTTGGCTATGGATTCCACTGGACGCTTATATGGATCTGTGAGTATAAAATGTGTGTATAGTTTTCACTTTTGACCTAGAGTTGGCAAGTACCAAAAGCCTATTTTTGGAGACAGTCCTGTTCAGAGTTTTACATTATTAGAACACCAGAGTAGCATAATACAACTAATTGTGAAGATTGATTTCCCAGGAAACAAAAAAGTCGACCTGTTTCAAAGCAAGTTTCTTTTACCTGTTCATTGAGAACCATTCTGAAGCACAAACATCCAGTAAGAGGATAAGTTGCCAGTGTGACAACTTACCAGGGGCATCGCTAGAGGGAGGGGAAAGAAAGGGCCGTGTTCCCCCCTCCCCCACATCATGCCGTGCCAGTACAAATGCAGGCGCTGTAGCCTGTGCTTTATGGACCTCTGAGGAGAGCACTGTGTGCTCATTAAAGGCGGCGAGGGAGCTGTAATCCGCCTGCCCTGCTCCCTCGTCTGTCAGTGAGTGTCAGTGAATGTGTGTGTGTGTGTGTATGTTAGTGAGTGTGTCTGTCAGTAAAAGAGTGCATTAAATAGTGTGTGAGACAATCACTGTCTGTCAGTGAGTATATGTTCATGAGTGTATGTGTATCAGGGCATGTTGTCTGTTAGTCTGCCCATCCACACTGTCATCCCCACACTCTGCCCCCCACATGGTCCACACAGTGCCACCCAGACTGTTACCTTCCTACACACTACCCCTACCCCCACACTATCACCTTCCTATACACTACTGTCACATTTCTACACACTGTCCCCCCCATTCCAGCCCACATGTAAGAGGCAAGGAGGAGGGGATAAGCCCAATTGTATTTAAATGTCTCACCCTCCAGCACTTATCCAACACTACATGCACTACACAGACAATACTACATACACATCCACTACATCCACTACACAGACACTGAATCCACCACACATACACTAGATACACTACATACTGCATTCACTACTCAAACACAGACACTGCATCCACTATACACCCTCACAATGTATGCAATACACACACTGCATACAATACACACTGTGATGTATGGGCAGTTGGGCTGTGTATGAGTGTGTGAGTCTATGAGTGTATGTATTGTGATGTATGGACTGTTGGGCTGTGTATGAGTGTATGAGTGTATGTATTGTGATGTATGGACTGTTGGGCTGTGTATGAGTGTATGAGTGTATGTATTGTGATGTATGGACTGTTGGGCTGTGTATGAGTGTATGAGTGTATGAGTGTATGTATTGTGATGTATGGGCAGTTGGGCTGTTGTTGGCTGTGTATTATGCACTTCCTTTCTTGTGGCTCTTTACTTCCTGTTCCTGTTGGCAGTTGGTGGAATGTTCCAGGGATTTGAAATGGCAGCTGTAGAAACACTGTGTAACATGGCAGCAGTACTTCGTTATACAGGAATTATTGGCTGATTTGTACAAAATATCACACACACTACATCCAGAACATGGAAAAAGGGGAAAAGGGGAAAGCAATAACATGAAAGGAATGGGAACAGAGACATGGAAGGAAGGGGGGATGGGGGGCAGAAAATACATGGATTTTTCATGGACAGTGTTGGTACATCAAAGGTATGACACATTATCTACCTGGCTGAGACTGCAGAGGGATTCATAGGGATGTGTATGTGTGTATGTATGTGTGTGTGTGTATATATATATATATATATATATATATTCATACTTACCATAATTTTCTTTTTCTGGCTATTATTCATGGCAGCATACACATATGGGTAAGCTCCTTCCCTTACAGCTGACAGGAATAAAACAAAACATTAAAAGGCGTATCTCTGTATAGGCCCCTCAGTCAGTAACAAGCTCCTACAGAGGATGGGGGGGGGGGGACACACTGGGTGGGTAGTATATGCTGCCACGAATAATAGCCAGGAAAAGAAAATTACGGTAAGTATGAATACTTTTTCCTCTTTCCTGGCTAATCATGGCAGCATATACATACGGGAATACCCAAACTTACCAGGGAGGGACAAAAGAGACTGAAGACATGCAAAAATAAACTTTAAAGGGACACTCCAGGCACCCAGACCACTTCTGCCCATTGGAGTGGTCTGGGTGCCAACTTAACCCTACAAGTGTAATTATTGCAGTTTTTTTATAAGCTGCAATAATTACCTTGCAGGGTTAACTCCACCTCTAGTGGCTGTCTACTAGACAGTCACTAGAGGGCACTTCCGGGTCCATAGCACAGAAAACCTGTGCTAGAGCGTCGCTGGATGTCTTCACGCTGTGTGAGGACCTCCAGCGTCGCTCAATTCCCCATAGGAAAGCATTTTCAATGCTTTTCTATGGAGAGCTCTAATGCGCATGTGCGGCATTACCGCGCATGCGCATTAGGTCTCCGCGGCTGGTGGGCGGGGTCAGTCTCGCCCAACGGCCGACGTAATGAAGAGGAGGAGCGGCGGCAACCCGAAACCACCGCCCTCGGCGGGGGTTTCAGGTAAATGACTGATGGGATTTTCACCCCTTCAGCAACTGGGGATTGGGAGGTGGGAGGGAGAGGGGACCTGCAGTGCCAGGAAAACAATATGGAGAGTCCCTTTAATGAAAACATATCAGAACAACTCATTACTCAGAAGAGTGAACTGATTGAAGGACATGATGTCCAAACTGAGATTCATTCGTAGCTCTAACATCCAGTTTGTAGTGATGAATGAATGTGTTCAACGAAGACCAAGTGCCAGCCTTGCAGATACTGTCAGGAGAAGCATTTGCCACAGAAGCCCAAGATGCAGAAACAGCACAAGTAGAGTGTGCTCTGATTCCTCTATGTCAGGTGTAGGCAACCTTTTAGCAGCACGGTGCCGAAATAAGATTGTGATGTCCCGTAACGTGCCGGTCCTATGTTTTTAAATTGAGGTTTGTATGTTGCGGTATTCTGCTTGTGTTATTTGTACTGCAGTTGCTTTGTATCGTTGAATTTGTGCGTATATGAAGGAGAACATGATCAACAGTGTCAAAAGCAGCGGAGAGGTCAAGAAGAATTAGTATGGAGTAGTGACCTTTGGATTTAGCTGTGATAAGGTCATTAGTGACTTTGATAAGGGCAGTCTCAGTAGAGTGGAGGGGGTAAAAGCTGGACTGAAGAGGGTCGAGGAGAGAGGAGGAATTGAGGAAGTAGGCCAGACGGGTGAAGACTAGTCTTTCAAGAAGCTTTGAGGAAAAAGGGAGCAGGGATATAGGACGATAGTTAGAGGGGCAGGATGGGTACTACAGTAGCATGTTTCAGGACAGCAGGAACAGTTCCAGAAGAAAGAGAGCAGTTAAGGAGGGCACAAGGCAAGAAGAGAGAGATCTAATAAGGTGAGACGGGACAGGATCAAGCGGGCAAGTGGTGGGGCGAGAGGAAAGGATAAGTGCAGACACCTCTTGTTCAGTAGCCTGGGAGAAGGTCAGAAGGGTTAGAGATGCATGATCCAGGGGAGGTTGAAAAGGTGAGGGTGAATTCTTTCCTTATCTGTTCAATCTCCAGGCCATCAATCTGAAGGATTGTGGATCTGGATGTTGAAGGGGACCCTGTAATAGCAGGTCCGGTTGGGCTGGAAGTTCCCCCGGAGGCTCCAGACTTATCTGATTCACCGTAGGGAACCAGGGATGACGTGGCCAAAAAGGAAGGATAGCAATCACTTCCGCCCTCTCCTTCCTGATCTTCTTCAGAGCTGCATTAGAGGAACTTGAGGGAATACGTATGCCAGTCTGAAGTCCCACAGTTGGGTCAAAGCATCCTGACCTTGGGATCCCATCTTGAGATGTCTCGAGAAATATGCCTGAACTTGTCTATTCTGAGAAGAGGCCATAAAATCTATCTCGGGAGTTCCCCAAATCTGAGTCATTTTCTCGAATACCCTGACATAATTGCCATTCACCCTTGTTTATGGTTACCCAACTCAGGAAATCTGCTGTGGTATTCTGTACACCAGGAAAGTGGACTGCGGTCAACCCCTGAACATTCTTCTGGCACGAAATCATAATGGGACATAATTCCTCCATCAACTGATGGCTGTGTGTCCTGCCCTGATGGTTGATATAGGACACTGCTGCCTGGTTGTCAGAATGGACCCGTATCCATTTGTTTCTCAGAGTCTTTTGAAAATGCAGGAGAGCTCTGTGGATTGCAAGCAGTTCCAGAATGTACCTTGGTAGCACTGATTCTTGCATGTTCCACAAACCTTGGGTCACTAGGTGTTGACAGTGAGCTCCCCAACCTCGGGCACTGGAGTCTGTTGTGAGTATAATCCAGTAAGGATCTGCCAATGGGAATCCTTTCAACAGGTTTTCCCTTCGAAGCCACCAGGTGAGGTGTAGTCTTACCATCCTGGAGATTCTCAGGGGTTGATCCCAATTCATTTTCCACCTGTTGAATTGAGTTAAACAATCTCTCTGTGGAATCCTGAGGAGCCACTGGACCCATCTTACAAGTCCGATGGTAGATGTTAGATTGCCCAGGAGTTGTATGTATTTTCTCACCGTGATTATGCGTAATCGTATCACCTGGGAGAGAAGTTTTGATATCCTGTGTCTCCTTTTTTGTGATAAGGAAATGGTCCCTTGGAGAGTGTAGAAGTCGATCCCCAGGAATGTCATTTTCTGGGTTGGTGTGAGGCTGCTCTTTTGAAAATGTATCAACTAGCCGAATCTTTCAAGTTCTGACAGAACTAAATCTTTTTGTAGCCTTGCCTTCTGGAGATCTGGGGCAACCAACAGCAAATCGTCCAGGTAGTGAAAAAGAGAAACACCTTGAATCCTCATTCTCTCTATAAGGACAACCAAGACCTTTGAAAAGGTCTTGTGGGCGGTGCTGAGGCCAAATGGTAGCGCTAGGAACAAGAAAGTGATCCTCCTTTTTAGCAAACCTGAGGAAACATTGGTGTTCTCCGGCTATTGGGATGTGGTAATAAGCGTCCCTCAGGTCGATAGAAACGAGGAAATCGTTCTTCCGGACAGCTGGTGAGATGGACTTGAGGAATTCCATCCTAAAGGATCTGATCTCTAGGTATCTGTTGACCCTTCTGAGTTCTAAGATTGGCCTCCATTTCTCTTTGCTCTTCTGAACAAAAAAGAGTGGAGAGTATTGTCCCCTGAACCGTTCTTCCCTTGGAACTGGTATGATGACTTTTTGGCTTGTGAGATTCTGGACGTATTAGTATAATGCTTTGGTCTTGTTTCTGTCTTTGGGGATATGAGTGGCTATAAAGAAATCCCATCTTGGTTATCATTGAAATTCCAGTCTGTAACCCATCTGGGTTATGGACATCACCCAGAAATATCTGATTTTTTGAGCCCAAACCTCTTGGAATAGGGGAAGTGGAGCCCCAACCTCCAGCGGATAGTCAAAAGTTCTTACCAGAGTGATGAAAGGACTGGTTCCTTTTAGAGCGAGGGAATGATGACTGACCACCACGTCATGAGTTGCCTCTGAACTCCTTCTCAGGCTTGTGGCTTTGACTATCTCTAAAATAGTGATCTCTGGAAGGTTGTTTATTTGCCCATGAGGTGCCTGGTTTCTTGTTACCTCTGTTCTGGGGTAACAATACTTTGTGGCACTCTGCTGCTTTCTTTATAGATTCCTCTAGGGCTTTTTCCAAGTAGTTCACCTTCAAAGGGAATACAGCATAGATTAGACTTAGAAGAGGCATCAGCTCCCCAGTATCATAGCCATAAAGCTCTCCTTGCAGCCACTGACAGAACCATTGTATGGGAGAAAATCCTCATACTATCCAGGGATGCCTCCACAAAGAATTCAGTTGCTATGTGTAGATCCCAAATAGCATCACAAAGACTAGATCTCTTCACACCTCTTTCAACATCTGAGTCTAGGTCTCTAATCCAGCTTTTCATGGCCCTGGATACAGCCGTGAGAGCCACTGCGGGATGACATCCTGCTCCAGCTGCAGTATAAATTTTGGATAAGTTAGAATCCAGCTCCTTATCCATGGGTTCCTGTAAGGAGCTATCCAGATGTAGAGTAGTTCTTCTGGCCATCCTAGAAATGGGGGCATCTACGTTTGGAGGAGTTGTCCATCTTTTGGAAATGTCTTCCTCCAATAGGTAAAGTCTTGACAATCGACTTAGTATGGGAAACCTCTTCTCTGGCTTCTCCCATTCTGCTGTGATCAAATCCTAGATAGACCTATGAAGGGGGAAGGAAAGCTTCTGTCTGTTAAGATCTGCAAAGTGCTTATTTGAGCTGTCTACTTTAGGAAGATCTTCTGGTATCTCCAAAGTTTTCCTAACCATAAGGATGATCTTATCTATAGTTTTGTAATCAAGCGATTCAGATAGCATCTCCACTTCGCTCTCACTGGAGTCAATTTGATGCAAGATCTGAAATTCTTCAGCTTGTTCCAGGTTTAAGTCTGAGTCTGAAGACCAATAGGATACATGTCGTAGTCTAGGTCTTTTCTCAGATCTTCTTCTGCTTTCCTGATGCAAGCCAGGACATCTGGTGATTGGACAGGTGTGGATGAGGATGAGGTCAACTTCTGGAGACAGAGTAGGCACAGCTGTTTACCTTCAACCGCTTCTCCCTCACAACCTGAACAGGGATTAGCTTTCTCCCTTCTCTTCCATGGTGGAGATAATACAGTCTGTTCTTCATTACTAAAAGTAAGTGGAGGACAGATTTTGAAAATCACTTAAAAAACTGCACATATGAAAAAATGTGAGCTCATACTCACCTAGATGCTGAAAGGGGTAAATGGGTTCTGGAAAGGGAATTCATAATGGGCTACTAAAAAAACAAATAAGTAATAAACATGAATATCCCCTAGATATATAAACAAAGGGCAAATTAACTACAGAAGGAGATAAAAAAAATTAAAACCATCCAATACTTGGCTCCAAAGTACTTAAGGCCTGCTTAGGGGTCTATATATAAGCATAAAGTAAAGAACTGACCTAATTTTCGACAATTTGCCCTTAACAAAGATTGCAGGTCGCGATTTTTGTGCCAAATTTATAAATGCAGGGACTGCGCATGCGCAACGTTTTCACCACGATCCGGTCAGTCTGAGCACCCAGGATGAAGGGAAAACCAGAGATGAGGCTTAAAGAGCACAGAAACAGATCCCCATTTCTCCCAGAGGCACAGGCAGAGTCTGGAAGCCCAGGAACTCAGCTCAGAAGTAAGTATAAATAATGAAGAAGTACTTAGCATTAGGGAGCAACAACAATGCTCCCCTCCTAAGGGCTGTAGGACAGGAAAAAAGAGGGACCTATACAGGAATACGCCTTTTAAATGTTTTTTTTTTTTATTCCTGTCCTATCGGCTGCAAGGGGAGGAACTAACCCATATGTATATGCTGCCATGATTAGCCATGAGTAACCCCTTTATCTAAATAACACATGTGACCGGTTTCATACAAACAAGTGAGGTAGAGAGAAGAGGGTAAGCAAGAAATGGGGTAGAAAGAGATAAAACATATTTAAAAAAAAGGGGTGAAGTGATCATGGAGAAGGGAGTCATACTCAAGAAATATAGTTGATGTGGGCTCTTCAGTGGATGCAGGATAGTGAGCTACAGTGGTATTTAATAGTGTAAAAGTGTATTTCGTTTGAGCATTGTATGGCTGCTGGAGGGGGATAAATGTCATTACACCTTTTTTTATTATGTTTTTGTGAAGGCATATGCATATAACATCCTTTTATCTGTAACCTTTTAGAAAATATCATATTAAGATTGACATTAGAAAGTGTAATAGACCTTCGAGCTAGTAATATTTTTTACTTTTTTGTATACTTATATAACCCACATGTTTTGTGTGCCAACATGATTCATAAAAGAATGGCAAAAGCTTTCAGGAATAGCTCAATTAATGGCAGTGCACCTCCCTACTGCGAAAGAAAATGCAAAAAAGCACTTTTTAAAAATAAATACCAGACAGACCTGCAGCAGGAAGCCCAGAGTCGCATTGGTTTTAAGTGCTGACCAACAGCAACTATTTTCTTAGCCAGAGTCTAGCTGTAGTTAAATGCTTCGGTCCAGCACTGCTAAATATAACCGCAATGGTTTGTTTTGCCACATACTGTAAACTAGCTAGGAGCTATTACATGTTTCTTTCTGTTTTTTTCCAAGCTGTCGTTCAATGAAGAATGCCTGTTTTTGGAAACTTTAGAGGAGAATCACTATAATACGTACAAGTCGAAGAAGTATGCTGACCGCGACTGGTTTGTTGGGATTAAGAAGAATGGAATGAGCAAACGAGGCCCCCGGACTCACTATGGCCAAAAGGCCATACTCTTCCTTCCATTGCCATTATCAAGTGACTAAGAGATTTTAGTCAAAACACCATCCAGATGATTATTAAGTATTATTTGTGGTACTGTTGACAATAATTATATTAAATTCAAATGCTTTCAATAGTGTTTGGCACAATACCAATCTCAGAGAATGGCATCTTCATCCAAATTATGCATTTGCACAAACCACAAAATTAGTAGTCAGTAGGAAATATTTGTGTGCATATTCATATTGTGTCGATTAAGCAGTTAAAACCACGTGTAGCTCATAAAATATGTTAAAAAAATAAAATTTAACTTATATTTTCTTTCAGTAATTCATATGGTTAAAAGTACACTCCACTGCCCAAATAAAAACACTGTTTAATAGATATACCCCAAATGAAAACATGCATGTACGAATTATGCATTTTCATTGAAGGTATATCTAAACACAGCTTGCAAAGCCTGCATTTCTCTTGTCTGCTTCCTTTGAAAACCACTGCCCAGACTTTCTGTGGCTGTCCAATCACAGACTTCCCAATGCAGCTCAATGAGAAGTCTTTGCAAGGCAGGTGCTCTGAGCAATTGCCTACATGTTGAGTTTAGCTCCACTGAGCTAACCACACCAGGAAGTAACAGGACCTGTTGTTTGATTGACAACCAGGGGGTGTAACCAGGTTAATTTATAAAAGTGTACATTTCTATTGAAATGTGCACTTTTTGTCAAATGAAAAAGAGTACCCATTTTTTTTTTAAAAATAATGCTTTTCAGCAAGCTAGTGCTTTATGGGTTTGGAGTGTCCCTTTAAAGCTTACTGATAGCTAAACAGATCCACTTCAAACAAATACTCAGGACCTCTCTTTGTTAAATAATTGATATATCCACAGAGGGGTACGACTCTGATTGGGTACCAAAGTTGTGTCCTATTTATCCCAGGACCTATTAAACAATGTACCCGAACTGGTCAGCAATTGAAGGCACTGAGATAAGACATCAACTTTACTACCCCTTAAGATATAATAATGGACATGGCCACCAATAAGGTTAGATCAGTAAGGTGTGAATTGTGAGAAACTCAAAGTGAATTTTGAATTATTGGACAAAATAGCTGAAATAAAAACATACCTCTTTTTTGAGAAAGGTTCTAGTTCTACTTTTTTGATATACAGTTTGCCTCCCTCCCTCCCACCCCCCCATCCCATGTTGCTGAAGGTGGCCATGGCCCGGGGCCGGCAGGTGAGATCACAGGATCTTCCCTGCCAGTCTATGCAGGGCCGGCACTATCCGAGCGCCGGCCCCGCTGTGTACCATGACGGGCCGGTGGGGAGATGGAATATCTCCCTCACCAGCCCACATGTAGTGTATTGAGGCAGCCGGCAGGGGAGAGACGGAGGGAGACAAGAGAGGAACCCGGAGGTGCTCTATTTTGCAGTTCTGCCTGGTTCCTCTCGCGAGAACTCTCCGGGTCTCGCGATAGTGAACTCTAGCCCCACAGGCTAGAGTTCACTCACTACTAGCACCACCAGGAATGGCACGGTCCCTCCTCCCAGGCTAAAGGTAAGAAGGGAGGGGGGATATAATCAATGCTTCTTTACTTTTTTAAAATGAATATATAGAAAATATTCTGCCCCCCCAACACACAAGCCCTCCAAACATATTCACACACGAGCACCCTCACTCACACACACACACACTGCACCCCTGACACTCACAGCATCCTCACTCACACACACTGCACTCCTGACACTCACAGCACACACACACACACTGCACAACTGGCACTCACAGCACCCTCACTTACACACACACACACACACACACACACACACACACTGCACCCCTGGCACTCACAGCACCCTCACAAACACACACACACACACTGCACCCCTGACACTCAGAACCCTCACTCTCACACACGCACATAGCACCCTTACCCACACAGCACCCTCACACACACACTGCACCCCTCCTGCACACACACTATACCCCTCACACACAGCACCCTCACACACACACTGCACACCCTTACCCTAACACACACTGCACCCCTGAAACAGCACCCTCTTTCACACACACTGCACACCCTTACCCTAACACACACTGCACCCCTGAAACAGCACCCTCTTTCACACACACTGCACCCCTCACACACACAGCAACCTTACCCACACAGCACCCTCATACGCCTCTTGCACACACTACACCCCTCACACACACACATTGCACTCCTCTTGCACACACTACAACCCTCACACACACACACACACACTGCACAATACTCTTTCCCAGCATTTTTGTCTCCTGGTATATGGAGACACCAGAGCCAAATTTCAAGCAAACACAGTGCAAGCATGTTATTAAATTTGCTTGCGCTGTGCAGAACAAATACAGGCCTTTTTCTCATCAGCAGAGCTCTGTGCATGGTCTGCCCTGGAAGAGCATTGAACCAACATGCTCACTTTGTGATGGGCTGTACTTGTCATTGGTGATGACAAAACAGACCCTATCTGGCCCCGCCCCCTTCTCACTGGGCCGCTGTAATAAGAAATGCCCGGGCCGAATTTTCTTTCTAGTCCGGCCCTGTCTAAAAATACGTTGTTATGGGGGGGCTTGTGTCCTTGGGTGCTCTCTTGTATTACATTGTTAAAAAACTATTTGCAAACAATTCCAGTGATTGATAAAGTTGTTTGGACGCAGAGTGTCCCTTTAACATTACTGCTTAGAAAGTCCATCTGTTGCTGACTCTGTATTACTCACTTGTTAGTGGATAACAACATAATGATGAGTTCACATCACCCTATTAATTAATTAATCGCCCATTAAGACACAACACAATATACTATTGTGTCAATACTAGTATTCATAATACAGACAATTTTTTGTTGTTATCAATCTTTGTTTTTTTATTGAGGCAGAAGCTTATCCATACAGTAAGACATTATGAATGAGTATACAAACAAACATGCATATCATAAAAGCACATTTCTGTGAGAGTGACCTAATTTTATCGTAATTATATAACAAGCTATGGCAGGGCCGGTGCAAGGATTTTTGCCGCCCTAGGCAAAAGAAGGATTTGCCGCCCCCCCAACCCCCCGGAACATCGCAATGCCCCACCCATATGAACTAATGCCAGTGCTGCACACAGTGTGTGTTTACATTGAAAAGCCTGCAGGGACAAACTATAGACACCAGAACAACTTTATTAAGCTGCAGTGGTTCTGGGGACTATAGTGTCCATTTAATGTGAGGTAAATTAGAGATTAGTGTCACTAATAATATACTAGATTGCCTACTTACAATCAGATGAGGATGGTGATGGGCTCTGGCTGCAGTCTGGCTCCACTGGTCTGGTGTAGAACAGGATCTCTGGAGGCTGTTTGTAACTGTGGTCACAAAATTCAATGTTCTGGGAGAACGGGAAGCAGCTCCATTTTTTGGGGCCTCTTACATAGCTCAAGGTCTGGGCCCCAGGGCCTGACGGTGAGTATGCCCATAAAGCCCACCCATAAGTCCACCTACATGTTCCACCCATGAACTCACAGGGAGTAGAGTGTGTAGGGGATTTGTTATGTGTTACTGTAGAGGATCTAATGTGTGTGCTTACGGAATGTAGTGTATAGGGATACCAGTTTGTGTAGGTGATGCAGTGTGTTTGTGTGTAGTGGAAGCAGTGTGTGTGTGTATAAGGGATGTATTGTGTAAGGGATGCATTGTGTGAATCTGTGTTTGTATGCATAAGGGATGCAAAGTGTGTTTTTTTGTATGTAAGGGATGCAGTGTGTGTGTCTGTAAGGGGTGCGTTGAGTGTGTGTAAGATGCATTGTGTTTCTGTGTGTGTGTGTAAGAGAAGCAGTGTGTGTTTGCATGTGTGTGTAAGGGATGCATTGTGTGTTTCTGTGTATATGTGCAAAGGTTGCATTGTCTTTATGTGTAAGGGTTGCATTGTGTGTTTCTCTGTGTGTAAGGGAAGCATGTTGTGTTTCTGTGTGTATAGGGATGCATTGTGTGTGTGTGTGTGTGTGTGTGTGCGCGCGTGGTGTGAAAGAGCTCCCTGTCCCCCTGTCCTATAGTGCTCTCCCTTCCATTCCTTAGAGATCTCCCCTGCCCCTTAGTGGTCTCTCCTCTCCCCCCACCCTCCCCTAGTGGTCTATCCTCCACCCCCCTCCCTTAGCGGTCTCACCTCACACCCCTCCCCTAGTGGTCTCTCCACCGCCCCTCCCTCCTTTAGTGGTCTCTCCCTCCCCTACGTTCTCATCTCCCACCCCTCGTGTTCTCCTCTTCTTCTCCCCCTGTGTTTTCCTCTTCTTCTCCCCCCTGTTATCTTTTCTTCTCCCCCCTTCCCTCCCTGTAATCGCTTCTTCTCCCCCATAATCTTCTCTTCTTTTCCCCCCCTAATCATCTCCCCCCTCCTTCTCTCCCATCAAATCATCTCCCCCCCATCAAATCATCTCCCTCCCATCAAATCATCTCCCTCCCCTCCCTCCCATCAAATCATCTCCCCCCCTCCCTCCCATCAAATCATCTCCCCCCCCTCCCTCCCATCATCTCCCCCCTCCCTCCCATCAAATCATCTCCCTCCCATCAAATCATCTCCCTCCCCTCCTTCCCATCAAATTATCTCCCCCTCCCTCCCATCAAATTATCTCCCCCTCCCTCCATCAAATTATTTCCCCCCTCAATCATCTCCCCCCATCATCATCATTTCCCCCATCCCATCAAATGATCTCCCTCCCATCCCCATCAAATGATCCCCCTGCAATCAAATTATCTCCCCCTCCCTCCTGCAATCAAATGATCTCTCCCCCCTCCTCCCTCCCTCCAATCAAATGGTCTCACCCCCCTCCCTCCCTGCAATCAAATTATCTCCCCCTCCCTCCCTGCAATCAAATGGTCTCACCCCCTTCCTGCAATCAAATTATCTCCCCCCCCCTCCCTGCAATCAAATTACCTCACCCTCCCTCCCCTGATCAAATGGTCTCACCCCCCTCCTCCTCCCTGCAATCAAATTATCTCACCCTCCCTCCCTGCAATCAAATGGTCTCACCCCCCTCCTCCCTCCCTGCAATCAAATTATCTCACCCTCCCTCCCTGCAATCAAATTATCTCCCCCCTCCCATCAAATGGTCTCACGCCCTCCCTCCCTCCATCCCATCAAATGATCTCCCCCCAGCTTCTCCTCACCTCACCTCCCCTGTAGAGTGGCCGAGCTCCCTTCCGGTCCCGCGACCCGGCGGGACTGACAGGAAGTGCACACTGAGTGTGCACTTCCTGTCATTCCGGCCGGGTCGCGGACCGGGTAGGAGCTCGGCCACTCTACAGGGCAGGGGAGGTGAGGCACTGCGGCAGCCGCCTGAGCGCTCTCTATAGAGCGCTCAGGCGGCTGCAGAATTTAAAGGGCCGGCGATGGGGGCGCAGGGCGCCCCCTCCTATATGGCGCCCTAGGCGGCTGCCTAGTTCGCCTTATAGGAAGCTCTGGCCCTGAGCTATGGTGAGACTAAAAGAAAGAGCTTTCCCAAATACTTGGGACTAAGATGCTTATCTAGGTATATTGAGAGAGAAGAATAACCTTAGATAGTCAAGGCTAGACACATAGCTAGACGCTTCGTACCTATTGAGCTGAAGCCTTTGTAGACTAGGTAATACATAGCTAGAGTTAATTAACTGCGATGAAACATGCAAGGTTCTAAAAAGAAAACCTCGGGCATAAAATGTAACTTCCATGCCCTGTACCACAATAAAAAAAATAAAGCTTAACATTAAAAAAAGCGTTGCTTCAATGTAAGTCCGTTTAGAAGCCATGCGCTGTTGCTGAATGGGAAGATGGCGGTAGGCCCTCATGCAATATCAGCTGATTCCCACAAGCGGCTCGGCTGGCACACTGCCTGAGAGGACTTTTGCGCCAGAATCGGGTGCCCCTCCAGCCCCAGACGAGAGCTGGCATCAGTGTGCCACGGACTTGGGTACTGTTAGAGTCCAAGTCTATCCCCTGCTCTGGAGGGTCAGAGGATTGGGATGTTGTCCTGGTGGATGATGCAGCCTAGGTGGGCTAGTCCTTGATTGCATATGCTTCTTCATCGCCGTTCCGCCTCGAGTAGGCCCCTCTGCCTCCGGCTGCTCATGTCTCTGGGCTCTCCTCCCGTGATCAGCCCTGGCACATAATACAGACAATTTGAAGACCTTACAATATAGTGATTGTTTGGTACATCAAAAATGTTAATTTAATGACCTCATACATCAGAAAATGGTTAGATATGAATAAAACAAAAAATGAAGAAACCGTTCACATTTCCATGGCCGAGAAAATGGAAACTTAACTCTTGCATACCGATATTTTTCTTTTACCCATAATGGGCTACGGCAGCACTGATTACCTGCCCTGCATTGGTGGCTTTGTACCAAACTAAGGGTTACATGGTCGGAGGGGTATTTATCGGGTCTACTTAGTAGTTTAATTTCTTTCTTGCTCTATTCATTGTAAGTGGTGGGAGGAACATTAACTCTTGCATTTAAGTTAATTTTCTGTTATATATGACATTGAGACAGCTGAAGATGGCTCACAGATGAACGACAGATAAATGCTAGTGGTCACCAAACAATACCATATAATAAATAGAATTTGATGGTAATTGAAATACATTTAGTTTTCTTAGAATTTTCCTTTTCTATGCTATAGATCCAGTCCTCAAGGCACTGCTATCAGTACAGGATTTAGGAATTACCCAGTTGTGTCTAAGGTGTGTTTAGAAAGAAAAAAAATCCTTGACACAACTGGTTAATCCTTAAATCCTGGACAGGTAGATGTGCCTTGAAGTTTGGAAAACACTGCTATAGATGATTTGTTTAAATTCTTTTGTTCGTAATCATGGTGTGGGCCTGACAATCTTTTGAATTTGTGGTTGTGTGCTAGCTTACACGTGTCACATGCTGAACTGACAATATATATAACCCAGTTCTAATAATCTTACTATGGTCATTTGATGCTGCTTTTCAAGGTAGATTCATTATTATGTTTTGTTTAACAGCTGTACCATGCGATTGTGATTGTTAATGGTAGTCATTTTTGTATTTATTTAATGAGTCTGTACTTACAAATGTGTATTTATTTAAAAATAAACTATGCAGAACACTGTATAATGAAAATAATTATGCAATAAAAGTAACAAATACATGTGTGGTTTTTTTTCTTCTTCTCAATACTAAATCAAGGAAAGGGACATGTTCTACATGGGTAATTGATAGATCGAGGCCAGAAGTCACCTACATCAAATCTAAGATGGACTTAGTGTAGCAAACAAGAGACTGTGCACAATTATGATATATGTCAGAAGATTTTGTCTAAATGGGAGGTCGTGCTGGAGTAGCATTTAATTGATTCCAAGGTAAAAGTAGTGACTGATTCATCCAGAGATCATTATGTGAGTGTGAATTTTTTTTGGAAGTCCACACATCATGGCAAATGGCATTATTAAGGTAGCATTGGATTAAATAATTGTCATTTAGTCTAATAAAGCTTATAATGAGTTGACACTTGCTTCCGCCTTCTTTAAATTGTGACACCAGTGGAAGGAAAGTAAAGAGAACAGGCCTGTGATGAAATCATGTCTCTAGCTCTGCCCCAAATGAGCTTGAGCTAATGGTAGGTTATCCTGTGTGGTTACACACCAGGTTGGCTGTTCATCATTTAGGCTGGTCCACTGAGGGTAAACCTTGCAGGGAGCACTGTTTCAATGCCCTGAACATAGCTTGAGAGCATTTTATGATGTGCATGTTCTAAGTTTCTTGGGGACAGTTCTCGGCAGTCCCAAAAAGTGGGACACCAGAGGATAATGTGGGTCTGAACCTGAAAATCGGGACTGGTGCAGTAGGCACTTTACACCATAGTAGGTAATGTTTTGGCATCTGCCACATCCAGATTCTTCCATTAGTTTGTCAGATACAGAAGCATGATTTATTACCCCAGAGAACATGGTTCCACTGCTCTAGAGACCAGTGTCAGCATGCTGTACTACACACCAGCAGACAGTTGTCGCTAATGTGAGGCTTGTGTAGAACTGCTCTACTTTGTAAACCCATTTCATCAAGCTACTGACATACCATTGCTGATGTTGCTTCGAGAGGCAGTTTGGACTAGAAGTCAGTGTGGCAACAGATTATAATCACTTTATTTACGCACCACATGCACTCAGAACCCCTACTCAGTGGTTATGATTGATATACCACTTTTTTTTTGGCTGGGACTTTGTTGTTTCTAGGCATTTCTACTTCACAATAATAGTACTTGCCAGTACCACTAAAGATCTAGTAGAGCTGAAATTTTACAAATTCATATGTGGTGTTCTATCACTGTGCCACGTCTAAACTCACCAAGCACTTTGGTATGATCCAGTGTACTGCCCATGTTTGTCAATATTTGTATGTCAATTACTTTTTGACAAAATCCCCACTCTGTAATTGTAAAATGCTGCGGAATATGTTGGCGTTATATAAATGATAAAATTATGCTCTATAAAATGTTTTGTTCCAAGCACTGAAGCCCTAATAACGTGGCATGGGGACATACAAGTATGTTTAATAACATGTGAAGCTTGTGTCACTCGATCTGCTGTTATTGACCCTGTATCCTCACCATTTTTGGAGGTTGTAGTTGTTGTGGCAACATGGTCACCAAACCAGGTTCCCCAGTGTGATATGTATTGCACATACATCTAATTTCCATATTCTAATATATTTGAAACATGTATGAGCACTTCAAAGAATATTAGTAAGAATTAAAAAAAAACTCAAAAGGAAAGAAAAGCATAAAAAAACCTTGTTGAAGCAGCAGTAAAAAAAAAAAAAATCACACACAGGAACATTTGGTGAGGTCGTTCTACCACCTTCATTTTATTGTAACATTACTCCCATTATGACTCTGGGTCACCACTCAGCTTAAAGTCTACCATTCCATTTTTAATTCCACTCAATCAAGCCAACAATAATTAGCCTTTGGCACCCACAGTGTTAACAGTACTGCATCTGAAATTCCTAACTGGTATTAAATAAGGATTACCATTTTCATCGTTATGCTTCTGCAACCTGTAAAAAATAAAATAAAAAAATAACCGGACTTTGGCTCCTTACTGTGGAAATGGGATTTCTTTTTTTTTTTATCGCCGTTAAACCGGAGCGGTAGAGAGGAGGCGGCTGTGAGGCTGGAACAGCATATGTTCAGCCAGATATTTCTTTACACATAGGGTGGCTGGAAATTGGAGTATAGCTGCCAAGCAAAGCAATGGGAGTGAGCTGTGTAAATCAATTTAAGTGGGAGCTGGACATATTTTTGGAAGGGATGAGAGAGCAAGGGGCATAGAGACTATTTTAAAGTTTAGCAAAGGAGTGAGGATATTTGTCATATCCTGAAATACGGTGTGTCCTATATTTGTAACAGAACCAAGAAAAACTATTATAATCTACACCACCAGCAAGTGACACTTTCAAGACATTAAGGAGGCAATGTGCTAAATGTAACACTATAAGTAGTAATTTATGGAATTGAGTTTTTAATAGACTTTTTTTTCTACGTTCTGGCAATGATTCTTCTGTTTTTCATCGTCCAAGACAAGGAACTTAAAACTTTAAGAGAGAAGGGAACTGTGCCTCAACCAGGGAGGGTGTTTTGGTATCAGATGTAGGTTACATTACTGGTGAGCAGGGATGTCCATGTTTATTTGGCAAAGGCTGCCATGTCGGAGTCTTATTAGTTATAATAGCTTGTCCAAACTACCATTCCTTACTTACAGGCTAACCTCATGGAGATATTAGGGAGAACATCCTAAGCTTTAGATTTATACGATGTGCATTTAAAATATCTTATGGAGTTATTTTTTTCTTTAATTTTATTAGTTAAACAAAATAAATAATATTTAACATGATGCGATACAGGATGAGAACGGCAGGACCAGAGCCACAACAAGTCAGAGAGAAAAGCAATAGTCAGTGCTACAAAGAAAGTCCCAATCTAATAAAAAGGAAAAGTGAGCTTAGACTTGCTACCACTGTTTTAATAAGCTGTTTTGTGCATTTTTCCATCTTCTTTTGAAGTAAGCATATTATAGACAGAAGACAGTATCGGTGAAAAGTTTTAAGGTTCTTGATTATTATGCTGGAGTTTGATACAAAAATGCATTAGCGTGCCTCCCACCTGTTCCGATTTCAGCAGGACAATCACGATTATTGGGTCCTGTCCTACCAACCCAATTTAGTACTTATCTATTTGTTCTTATTAATATTTTATGTAAATACCTTTTGCATTATACAATAAAATGTTGCTAGTTTTCGATTTGGAGTCCCAAATCTTTGAAGGGTGTTGGATATTACAAGGCCTGAAAAGACACCCATGGGCTACCTGTATAGAGCCTGATACAGCTCTTCATCATATTCATGAAGTTTTTGCCTTGAAAACTGTGGTAACATATTTTTGGAATTATCCATAAAGCTAAGTATCTGTTTTGCATATGTACACTTTGGTTTTTTGCACGTTTTCTATTTTATCTATACAGTTGTGCTCGAACGTTTGTCTTCCCTGGCAGAAATTGTAAAACTTTGGCCTTGCTTTTTAAAATATGACTGATCATGCAAAAAAAATGTCTTTTAGGATAGTGATAATATAAAGTCATTTATTATTACTAGCTGTTTGGCTCCTTTTTAAAATCATAATTATAACAGAAATTACCCAAATGGCCCTGATCAAAAGTTTACATAACCTTGAATGTTTGGCTTTGTTACAGACACACATGGTAACACACACAGATTAAAATGGCAGTTATAGGTTAATTCCCCACACCTGTGGCTTTTTAAATCGCAATTAGTGTCTTTGTGTAAATAGTCAAAGAGTTTGTTAACTCTCATGTGGATGCAATGAGCAGGCTAGATACTGAGTCATGGGGAGCAGAAAAGAACTGTCAAAAGGCCTGCATAACAAGGTAATGGAACGTTATAAAGATGGAAAAGGATATAAAAAGATATCCAAAGCCTTAAAAATGTCAGTCAGTACTGTTTAATAACTTATTAAGAAGTGGAAAATTCGGGGATCTCTTGATACCAAGCCAAGGTCCGGTAGACCAAGAAACATTTCAGTCACAACTGCCAGAATAATTTTTCAGGATACAAAGAAATACCTACAGGTAACCTCAGGAGAAATACAGGCTGCTCTGGAAAAAGATGGTGTGGTTGTTTCAAGGAACACAATAAGACAATAATTGAACATAAAAGAGCTGCATGGTTGAGTTGCAAGAAAGAAGCCTTTACTGCGTCAGCATGACAATGACCCTAAGCACAAAGCCAAGTTGTCCCTCCAGTGGTTAAAGCAGAAAATGGTGAAGATTCTTGAGTGGCCATTGCAGTCTCCTGACCTTAATATCATCGAGCCACTCTGGAAGATCTCATATTCACTTTGAATATGCTGCAATTCTAATTTTATTGAATAAGCCTGATTTGAGGTGGTTATGGTGGTTGGAGTCAGTATTTGTAGGTTTTCCACTTGAAATACTGCGCAATATTTGTAATTATGACTATTGGGACTAGTTGTATTCCCAGCACAGGTGACATTGGCAGCCAAGAACTCTGCTCCCTCCTGGCTCCCTCCTGGCATTGGTGGTTTTTTTACTGGAAATTGCCATTGTCACGCATGCGCATTAGGTCTCCCCCGCCGACGGCCACGCATGCGCTTTAGGTCTCCCCCAGCCGGCTGGCGTCAGCGGGGAAGGAGCATAGGCCAAGCCTGACCCAGCGCCGAGGGACATCGGCGCTGGATTCCGGTAAGTCACTGAAGGGGTTTTAACCCCTTCAACAACTTGGGATGGGTGGTGGGAGGTAGAAGGGCTACTAAACTAACTAATATGTTTTCCTGGCACTGGAGAATCCCTTTAAATAAATTTCCATGGTCTCTAGATGTGAGACTCCAGGGAACAAAACCCAGTAAGATGGGACTGGACCTGACTTTGGGACAGTTCTGCTACATGCAGGACAGTTGAGAAGTATGCATTATATTGTGTGTGGTAGAAAATGCTTTTTTTAAAAAGCTCTTTTTGGCTTGTTCCTTACAATTACAATGCTAGCTAAAGTATATAAATGAAAAAAGTAGG